GTATTATTACTGCGAATCTTCTGCAGATAAGCAGAGTTTTGCTATAGAAAAATATTGATTTTTAAGAATTCTATACCATTTCTACCAAAAGTTGTTTTTTCCCCATATAAAATACATGGAAAACTTTAGGCGCTTTGAGCGACCTCTCAATATGGGTATATTTTATTTCGGTATAAAACAATCCTAGGGGAGAGCATACAAATCTATACTTTACTTTTTCACCAGCATTTTTGGACCACCCTAATACATATACATATTCACATACATACAAATATTTGGTTCGGGTTCGGCGCGCAATTTCGCGTGGAATCCCTTTTTTCAAAGACTTTTACTTATTGCAAATTTAATATTATTGATTTGGCTCGATATGTTCTTTTTTCAATTTGTATGTTATCAGCGTTTTAAGTTTAATTCTGCCAAGATTTTTCCATGACCATTGTACGCAAAAACCGCTGCTTATTTATGCAGGAGTATGAGTGGCAAGTAAACATTTTGCACTCTTTTTATGGCTGCTAGCTTTATCATCATTTTCTCAAACGCAAAAACATTTCCAACTTATACAATACATATACATATTTTTGCACTATGTACTTAAATTAATGAAAAATAATAATTGCTGTCTGAGATTTTAAATTGCCGTCGTTATCAAGTCGTGATTCTACTATAATTGCCGCATTTCAAATCTGCTAAAAGACCACTACCAAATAATCCAAAGAGTTGGTTGTACCTAAAAATCACTTCAAGGTTGCATGAAAGTCAAGGTTGTTTTGGCGCTTTTTCCGGAAACCGTTTGTGATGCATTTAAAATTTCTTCTCGAGAACTGAACTATGTTTAAGGAACATTATGTGGACATAAGTTGAGTTAAATGTTCGACTTTACATAACTCATTTTAGAAATTCATAACGAAAATATGAAAGTTCATCAATTAAAAGGTCTAATTTGTTTAAGCTATTCTACAAAACAAATATCTATTTTGATTACTGAAACAAAAATCGAGAATGATTTATGTATGTATTTAATTTAAACGGAAAAGCACATTACACCTTACAGGGTGAGTTCCTCATTACTCACTTTCACGCTATTCTAAATCCCCGATTAAAAACTCATTCAAATGCTTAACTCATCTTTATTTATTTATTTCGCCCGCACTCGTTTTGGGTTATATTTACTAACAATTCTGCGGCTTTGATTCACCGGGTATCAGATACGACTTTTCTTAACCCCGAGAAAATGTTCTATTGTCTCTCTCCTTTGTGCCAATTATTTCCACCAAATGTAACCAAGGCCTTATGCACTTGGTTCTTCCATTGTATGCGACGGCGACTTTGTTTTCGTTGTTCACTCATGTTTACCCCGCGTGGCAGGATCTTTTCAGCGAAGTATCATCCATATGAACATCATGTCCACGACACCGAAATTATTGTATTTTTATGTCTTTGGCTATGTCATTGTCAAAAAACAGTGTCATTGATTTTGGGTAGAACAGTTTCGAAAGCTCATAATGCTTTGAGATCCAGGCTTACGTGTATTTTAAGTAGACAAAATCTTTCACAACCTCGAAGATATGGCTTCTCCTAACACGGGAAGTGTATATGTGTAAATGTGTAATGTGCAAATATTTCTTCTTGTAGACCTAATCTTCTGGCATATATGTATTTACCATGCGCCCTACCATCTCTTAAACACCAATTAAAAAAAATAACTTCAAAAGCTCGTCTTGAAGGGTGAGGCGACGCATCCTCCCTAACGATTAATCTCGATTCATCTTTACCAAATAACTTAATGAGGTTTTAAGATCATACGACTCGTGTTTTATTTTCGGATGCAATTAAGAGTTCCATAAAAATTAAATATATTTTTTCCTAAATTCCACAGTATGGATCCACATGAAAGAAAGCTTTTTTCCTTTCATAGGTGTAATTTTAAATCTTTAGAAAATTTTTCAGGACATCATCATTTTCCATTGGCTACAAGAAGATTCGCATTTGGTATCAACACTTATTTCTTTCTGATTGGAAGTTCACTTGCTAATTTTTAATAGGAATAAACTAAAAAATGTGTGGACTATTAACGAAATGATTTGTTTACGAATGACATAGCAGCACTGTGGCACTTATCCGAGCGGTCGAGTTTTCAGTTACTCTATCGCATAGACCCGAATTAATTTAACTGATGTCCTGGGATAAGCTGACTTTAAGGACCTACTGACATAGTCATGCAGAAATATATAATATTACAATAAAAAGAGTGGTCAAAAATTCAAATTCCGATTCGCTTTAAAAACTATTTTATTACCTTCATTGTGTGCCTATCTGTATCATTTTTGTTACCACTCTCATTAGTTCTGATTTGTGGGAATCAAGGAGAGTAGTCCCACTGCCGGCGAACAGCAAAGAGTAGTCTTATAGTCCCATAATCTCCCTCTTACCAGCAGTGGAGATATCGAAAGCCGTGATACTTCCGCACTCTACTCTACAGCAAACTCCAGCGAAGAATCCCTATGACTGTCATAAAGTGCACCACTCCACTCCAGGTAGGCCCTCCGAAATGAAAATATTATTAAAAGCTTACCCGAGAAGGACTAGACAAAGTGCTTGGTTACATGGCTTTTAGTAGGGCTCTTCCTATTTAAAATTTACACTTCAATATGCATCTCAAGTTGAAATAGAGCATATCTCACATGAAGTACGTCCTACAATAGTCGTTCTATGAGCACTTCCGTGTGTAAAAAGGAAGAGAAGAAGGAAGACTTTATCAACTCAGAAATTCCTTTAGAAGGGCTTTTGGTTACTGAAATCACCTTCTGGGGTCTTACCGCTATGCACACCTACATAACGTGTGACCTCAATCGTAACCACCTCAGTGAGGGCGCCTAAGCAGCGTTTAACCTGACAAAGATAAGAACTAAAGGGACGAAGCCACAGATATGTCACAACAGAGCACTCCGGACACCGGACGCTGTGCAGACAGTTAATTAACTACATTCACAGAAATACTAGCACCACGTTCACCCACTCTCCTCCATGGAATGCCATTATCTGAGCTCAACCATCGCCCATTGAAGAAAAAGAGCTTCAGCTGCCTCGAAAGACCCACGTCACTCAGACACAATTACTGTCTGGACACTCGCAATGTAGTGTTAAACTTCTACCTATCCAGGCTCGATCGTGGCGTTCCCATCGTAAGTCTTGCATGTGAAGGTTCCCCGCACGATACTAACCACCTCTTCACATACTCCCTTAGGGCCGATTGTTCAATGTCTGGTTATCATTACCTCCCAGTTATACATCATTATCGAAAACGTCGATGCATGTAACATGTGATCGATAAAGCAGTGTTTGTATTTAGCAGGTGCTTCTACCTCCGATTCATGTTAACCGGACATTGAACAACTGGCCCTGAAACTCATTCAGCTAACAACTCTCTCCTTTACTCCGATCAAGACGAACCGGCTCTAAACCTCGCTAAATAGCCGCATATACATACAAATATTTGTAAACAACAATATTTTTATGCTGATATTTTCGCGTATGCCAATTTGCACAAAGCAAACATCTTTCCAGCTTTTTTCCAATGTGTATATACGACATTTTTCACCACCATTTTCCCCCCGGGGTCGAATAAATTTTGAATTCAAATTGATATCCAAGCTTTTCTCAAGTTTTCCAATTGAGGTACACTTGAAAATCAACGTTGAACATTGGAATATGTATTCGACCTCCAACCCAAATGTTTATTGGCATTAATCCGTGTGAATAAACAATACAATATGCATAAGTACATACAATATAGTATATGTACAAACAATTTTGTAAAAGTAAATGCGAGCATAAGGAATTTTCGACTACATATAAATATGTATGTAGCTAAATCATACAAAAAAAAGATGCTGGAGAAATTATATTCTTTCAAGTTCAATACAGCAACAATTATCAGCTGTCCTTGGACTTGCTCAGTTTACCGCTAACAGACTTATTATTATTATGGTATTATTATTTTCTTTTTCTGCTTTTATTATTCAAGACTAAATTCCAAAACACCCACGCGCACGTGATTGGGGCGTGCTAGCCATCTTTATACCTAAATAAAAAAAAAAAAACAATATGACAATTTGGATTTTACAATAACAAGAGAATCTTTTTCTTTATATCAGCGAAAGCAAATCAATTTTAATCGCCCTTAGGGTCAAATAAATAAAAAAAATTGATAAAAGACTTGCTTATGAATAAGTGCCTGAAAGGGTATTTCAACGCTGAGGATAGCGAAATCGAAGAGCAAACACTTGGTGCATAGAAATCATATCTTTGGTCAAAGATAATATAAATAATAAGTAATAAAACTAATTAAAATTGTAAAATGGAAATTTGAAGCCCGTAGAATGGCCACTTATTGCTTATATGTATTATATTACTCTAACGAATTCTTAAATGCCAAAGGAATAAATAAAGAAATTCCATATAGTACATATGTAAACAATGCATAAATCATAAGAATCTAAGAAAAATTAAATAAATAAACATTATTTGTTTATAAACATACATATGTACGCGTACATTATAATAATATAGAAATTCTCCTAAACTCAAGAATTAACCAAAATCCCGAGACGACAATAAAAAAAACATTATCAAAGTCCCGCCAAACGCACACGCGTACAAACTATGTATGTACATTCACTTATGTATGTACATATGTATGCGCACGAACTCGATTACTAATTAGTCATGTTTTGATTCGAAATAATAATTATACCCTTATCTTAATTACCGACTGTCTGACTAGTACTTACTGTTTCTTCTCCTAGCACGCGACCACTTTCTCAATACACATCCTGATCGGCGAAATAATCACTAACAGTCGGCTCGCTTCGCTCACCGACCACCACCAACACCACGACGACACCATGAGCAGGTGAAATGTTGATAAGAAATCTCGCAAATTTTCCATAGACGCTCACAACTAGCACTCCAGACGGTATAAAAACCGAGCGAGAGTCAACAGCTAGCGATATTCGCATTTGGCCAACTGAACAGAAACGGAGGAAGCAGAAGCGTACAACGAAATAAATTTCTCTTGTATTATTTTCGTAAGCGCGGATCTTCCAAAAAAAAAAATTTACTGCTTTAAAAAAGTACGAACTTCACTCCATTGCAAACACAAAAGAAACTGCAAGCTCCACTGATTTTTACAAGGGATTAAAAAGAAAAGAAGTCATTGGTGAAACATCTACATAGAGGTGAGTAAAACTGTAAAGGAAATTATATTTGAAAACAAAAAAACAAAGCAGCTATGTAAATGGAAATGGATTTGTGAGGGCGGCGATCACGCCATAGAAGAGTGAGCGGAATTTACGCTACCGAAAAGAAAAAAAGTCTGAGTTGCACCAACAACTAGCCCAAAAAGTGTGCGCAAAGCGTTAGAGGCGGGTCTTTTCTAACTCGTGCGTTCGTCATGGGTGCAAAGATTCGCTAGAAAGACAACAAAAAAAAGGTGTAGCGTTTGTTAGTTAGTATGTAGGTTTGTAGCTGTTGATATGTTTGCGAGCAGAGAGATATGCAAAAAAAAAAATAAAATATCGATAAAATTATTAGCATACGAAAAATGCTCAAAGCGTATAGTCTGAAATTTTAGAATCAGATATACATAATTAGTTTGTGTTTTGTTAAATTTTTGGCTACTTACTGTTTGCGTAGGTGGTCGCGAATACATGCGCTAAGCAAAGGAAAGACTCTCGGGCGAGTGCTGCGCACGTTTTTGCCTACTTTGTGTATCTAGCGCACGTTTTAGGGATTTGTCATTGCTGTTGTTTTTTTTTTTTCTTCTAAAAATATCGTTCTTCAACCAAAAAAATAGCTTCCATTTTTACTTGAGTTTTTCTTAAAAATATTGCTGTTTAACAAAAAGATTGTAAATTATAAAAGCAAAGTGCGCAACTGTCATTCGAGCTCTTTAATTACTTACTTTCGTTTAAGTTCCTCTTTGGTTTAATTCAAAGCATTGCTATACAAGAATCTTTAATTTCCTATAAATTTTTTTCTAAAATCGTAAATTTTTTATTCACGAAAATATTAACAACTTCCGAAAAATCTTTTGCCAGATTTAATTTTTTCGATCATATTTTACCAGGAACTAAAAATAATCGTTGTTTCGATTTGTTTACTGTCTATATTTAATCGTTATTTCGATATTTCCACTTGTTGAACATAATTGATGGTTTTTTTTTTGTGAATAGTAATTTTTTAAACAAAAATAATGGTTATCGATATTTTTGGGTAAATTTTGATTGCTACATTTGGAGCATAGAATGACGACAATTTTTGATCGAATAAATAAAAACCCAAAATAACAACTATTTTTTATCGAAAACATCGAATATAAAAATTATTTTTGGTCTAAAAAATAAAAAATCCAGATATCGGTAATTTTTTATCGAAAAATAAAAGTCCAATGTAACGATAACTTTTAATCGAAAAAATTATCTAAATATCTCAATTATATTTGATCGAAAAAATAAACATCGAAAATAACGATTACTTCTTGTCGATAAGTAAAAGTTCGAAATAACGATTATTTTATAGCAAAAATAAAAATCTAAATACACTTAATAATTATTTTTATTCGACAAGTTAAAAATCATAAAACCTCCACTTGATAACGAAATTTTGAAATCCGATTTTTAAAATAACAAATTCAAGCGTCATTGACGAAAATGTAAATCCATTTGAAATGGTCAAAATTGGTGGAAAAACGGAAAACAAAAAATCGATCACACTTCATGTAGAATTTTTGAAGTACAAAAGGGATGTTCGAATAGATAAAATAGTAAAAAAAATTTTAAATATGATCACAAAAGCTTTTAATCTAATTATATCGATAAACAGAAAGAACTAAAAAAAATCCAAGCCATGAATGCTCAGTAGTTTTTTGTTTTTGGTAGAGCGAGTGTTATGTAATCTTTAGGTGGATATCAAATTGACTTCAAGTACATAATATTTGTTTTAAGTGCTTAAGGAATTAAAATATCATTAGGCACGCGCTATTGCGCATGTGTATATGTATTAGGCTGGGTCGATTTTGTATGGGGGAAAATAAAAGGCATTTGAATAAAAAAACAAAAAAAAACACTAGAGATCCACTTAAGTTTTTAGATATAACTTTGGTAAATGTTACTCGATCGGTACGTAATAATTACCAAATTGAAGGCGAGACTTACCGTTACTGATTTATGATAATAATATGATGAAAATCGTTCAGATTATAAACAAATTATTAAAAAAAAAAATTTTAAAATTTTTTGTCATTTTTTTTATATCTGCAATTTTTATATTGTATGCATAAACATAAGTAAACCAATAAGTGTTTCTAGAAGTTGGGCCTGTTCAGTGTTTCCATACTCATTTGCATAAACGAAATTTTTCCACGATGATGGAAAATAATGGCTTTTCTATTAGAGTTACCGAAACTGTTCCTAAATTTGCAAAAATTCGCAAACTATAGCTAATATTAAAAAAAGATTCGAATATTTGGAACCAGCGACCTAAATGCACGCCAACAATATTAAAGCTGATCTTTGCATCTTTTGACTATAGGCCAGTGCAATTATCGAGAGAACAATTCAAATTTTATTGAAAACAGATAACCTTGAGATTAACGATAAGCTATAAAGGGCTGCGAGAAATGAAATTTGACTTTATCTTTTGCGTAAACGGATTCATTATCTAATAATATGCACCAAACCTTTTTGCCGAACCCAAAATTTTTAACAAGAATTAGTCTTATTCGACTAGTGTGCTGTGGGTCACTTTGCGGTCGATGCGCGATGCGTTTTACAACTAAAATAAAACACTAATATTTTGCAGGCTTGTTGTTGTGACTTCATGATACAATATATTTTCACTATTACAATTCAATTTTCAAAAACTTTCCAAATTCTTACTAAGCACGCTTCGGCGAGATACATAGATGGTAGATTATTTTCGGCTGACAGGTTTGATTAGATAATAATAACGAATAGATATAGCTATTTTAGCTATTAAATTGATGTCAGGTATAAAAATATATTGGGCACAAAACACCCATGATTTGGAATTTAGAAAAAAATATATATCTTTTCATTTCATTAAAACTTTTAAGCTTTCGTCACTCTGAAATTTCATTAGAAACACACATTTTTTCTGCATTAAGCAAAACGATCAAAATATGAAAGTTTGCGGTCAAGTTCAATGCTTCGCTCCAATTCAATGTCAAAGCACACTATTTTCTACCCCACATTCATAGCTTCATTGTATTTGTATGTAGAAAGTGCTTTCTCGCTTTCTCTCTTTGTTTATAGAAAAAATGCAGTTCATCGGCAAAGCTTTTCGGTGGACGAATATATTTCCGCCAAATTTTTGTTTACATTTGATGAAAGAGAATGAGTTACGCCAAATAATTGAAAGAAAATCAAGTCGGTCTTGCTAATTTGTATTATTAAATTATTTCTTAAGAAAGCAAATAAATGCATTTTAAAATAATAAAAAAATTACATGCAAAGGTAAAATAGCATTAATTTCCCCTGAGAAGTATGGACATACATATGTAGGTAAATATGACTATGTAGTTCGTTTTATTACTCTCCCCTTTGACGAGAATTAAAGAGCAAAGGCTTGACCACTTAGCTAATAAAGATCAGTAAATAATACAACTAAACTTGTACGGCATGTGCATATGTATGTATGTATGTATGTTCACACTAAAAGCTGCAATTTCTATAGTTTACATCACAGGCAGAAAAAAAGCTAAATTTCATTGTCAAAGTAGAATTTTTTCAATTTTCCTCGCCACTAGTTTTCGAGTAACATTTGAGTGAGGAAGCTGCAGTGAATAAATAAGTGAAAAATAATGCAATTTCGTAAAATAGTAGCATTTATGTCATAAGTGTATCTATTCAATAAATTAATAAGTGTTTAGATAAAAATTCAACAAATTAAAGTAAAAATATTAGCAAATTTTTTAATGCCTCAAAACTAAAACTAGACAATCAAAACTTAGCATTTAGTCATGGGCAAATGCAAGCGCTAAAAATAAATGTTTCAAATATATACTATGCCTTGATTTTGAAAGTGAAAAAAAGCACGCAAAATTTTCCACATAAATTTTAGAATAGTGAGTGCACGAAAACAGCGAATTTGAGCGAAAATATACAAAAATAAATTTATAGAGAAAAAAAATGTTTCCGCATATGCAAATTTATATTTGTAAACAAAAGAGGCGTTCAAATGCAGTACCATTAAGAAATAAGAGTTGACAGAAAAAAAGTGAAAATATTTAAATAATTTTTTTTTTTTGAATTTATCGGTTTTAGGGGGGGGGGGGCGCAAAAAATATGGGCTTTTAATTTTTATATTTTTGCAACATGTTCTATGTAAGTACAAAAATATCTCATCCATGCTTTTAGGTGTTTTTTTTAACGAAAATATCAAAATGCCCTCTGCGTGCGCAATTCTTTCGATTGCCAATAATGAGCGAGTATATGCAACTGCACCTCTTCAAACATATTTAAATATTTACATGTGTTTATATGTAAATAAATAAGCTGCTATCGAAAAGCTGCGGCGCCGTTTAGTCTACAAGCCGCACAGCTGTTCGTCATTTGTGATCATCCATTCGCGAGCGTATAACATACAACATACATACATATATACATATTTATGTAAATAGATTTTTTGAACACTTCGCGGTTAGCGCCATTCGTGCGTTTCTTTTAGCTTTTTGTTGACCTTTGAATTGTTAAAAATATATGTGCCCGTTGGTAGTGAAAAGTGTTGCTATTTTTTTTTTGGACTTCCGCATTTTTAAAATGTCGCATTTCCGTTTCCATTTACGTCAACATGGCTGCACAATGCCTTCAAACTGTATGTATTGTTTGCAAATTAATATATATGTAAATATTATCTATTATTTAAATATTTAGTGCATTTTTGATACAAGACAAAATGATCGTACCAGCAACAGTAAATTTTCTAAAATCAAAATGGCGTCTCTTCATTTCTGCTCATCCTCTGGCCAAAGGTGTTATCGCTTATTCCATTGTTTGGCCGACGAGTAGCTTCATGCAGCAAACGCTTGAAGGCAGACAGCTGAGTAAGTAAATTTTTTTTTTTTGATTTTCTATTTTTCACAATTTTAAATATTTAATAAAAAATTTGATTGTTACTAATTAATTGTGCTTTATTTCGCGCAGAGGACTACGATTGGATGCGCATTCTGCGTTTCGGACTTTTCGGTGGTCTTTATGTGGCACCCACTTTATATGGATGGTTGCGTGTGGCCTCAACAATGTGGCCACAAACGAACTTACGCGTTGGAGCACTCAAGGTGGGTGGATTTTTATTTAGTCGACATTTATTTCTATAAATTTAAAACACTTTTTTGCAATTCACTTCATTCTTTACGTTCTTAACTTTGCCACCTTTCAATCATAAAATCTTCTATAAAATTTTCATCTGATTAGATTAATAAATTTGTTAAAAAAAAAAATATATAAAAGTTTTGCAATCAAATTAAATTGTTTCCCATGCTCACGCCATGCACGAAAAAAATTATGCTTAGTCAACTCAAAAAAACGCAGATTTATACATACATCGCGTACATATTTACCATCTGATAATTGAGGCGTCGAATTTCAGACAATATTAAATTTAATTGCTTTAATATTAAATGTATTACGCTGAGTCTCACGCGATTGCCTTCAGAGCAAGTACTTATTTCGCCTTTTTTTTCTTTGAAGAATTTAGCAAAGATTTCTGATAGAACATCTGTACATGGGGGTGGTTCATGAGCTGATGCAAATGTCAGATTTAACACTAAAAAAAATTTAAAAAGTATTTTTTAAAGAAAATGAACTGGCAACTTTTAATTAGACTATCAGGCCCTTAAGCAGAAGTGTTTCGAAAAGCTTAGAGCACATTGTATCCTTAGGTTGCAGTCCTCATTTTATCTATCTTGCCATCTAATTAAAGTTTAATTTTATTCGTCTGGAAGCATTGAGCCACTTTTTCTTCATGCAAAATAAATAATTGACCAAGGCATAGGAAGCTTGTTTTTGTTTCTTAATAAAAACTACAAATTATTCATATATCAACTCCGCATTTAATACTCAAACAATCTCAAATTGCAGGCCATTGTCGAACAAATTTCCTACGCACCATTCGCCAGTACCAGCTTCTACTTCGGCATGTCGCTGCTGGAGGGCAAAGGTTTCGATGCTGCCGTTGCAGAGGTCAAAGACAAATTTCCAAAAACTGTAAAAGTATGTATCAAATACGCTTAACTTTATTTATATTAAAATACAATAAATATTAATAAAACTATTTTCTCCACTTCCACATTTTAGATTGCCATTTTCATCATTCCAGTCCTACAGACAATTAACTTCGGCTTGATTCCTGAACCAAATAGAATATTATTTGTGAGTTTCTGCAGTCTCTTCTGGATTACCTTCTTGGCGCATATGCAAAAGAATGGTAATAACCAAGCGCAGGAGCAACCAATGCAGAAACAACAATTGAAACAATTCCAGCATCATTTGCCTGTACCTAAGAACGAGAGTTTGGTGCCAAAGGTACGAAACGCCTTGGCGCTGTAATGACTGAACTAGAGAGTACCAAATTGCACATATTTTTTTTTTTAGTTTGTAAACAAAATACGTGATACGCTTATTAGCTTAATTACTACTTAATTACATATACTTATATAATGGTTGTACTTACTTACTTACTTACTTACTTACTACATACATACCTACATATATCCTGGGATTTTAAATAACTGTTTGTATATAGCATGTATGTCCATATATGTAAATAATATTTATTTCCTTCGAAGACTTAATAAATATAATTGTTTAGTTTATAAAAAAAAACACACACTTTTCTTTAAGTCCTCTTTACTCACTTCTCGATCCACTCACCTATCCACTTTGCATAACAACCGACATTGGTGAACACTCCAGGGTAGACGCCACACGGTTTTAGACTCCAGGAAACAATGCCGATTTGTTTATTGTCTAACAGTAGTGGCCCACCAGAATCACCGCTGCATTGTCCCTGTGTGGTGCCATTGGCTGCAGCGGCACATAGATTTGTGCTATGTAGCAGTGATTGTATTTGCTTGCGGCACTCAGCTGGCGCGATTATGTTAAGTGGCACCTTTTGCAGTTGTTGCTGCAAGACGCCGTTTGTCTCATTGAGACCCCAGCCTATAAGGAGCGTGGGCTCTTTAGTTTGACTGAACTCTGTACAATCTTTTGCTTTAACAACTTTCACTAAATCTGTGCTTTTGAGCTTAAGTGTTTTCTCCAACTTCAAAATTGCTATGTCGTGTATGGCTATAGTGTGGCTATATCCTTCATGCTTCTGTATCTTGCTGACGTTCATAAATTTTGCTTTACCCGATTTCAGTTGATTTGTGCCATATTGTACGACCAATTCTCGGGGGTCTTTGATGTACATAAAACAATGCGCAGCGGTGAGAATCCATTGGGGATGTATGATGGTGCCTGCACAAAAATGCTGCAAATTCCAGCGTTGGCGTAACGAAACCTGTTAGAGGTGTAAGATAATATTAGAAAAATATGATCTGTAACTTTTTGACTAACTTCTACATGTTTTTAAGAAAAGTCGATATTCTTTCCAATGCTTCTAAAAGTTATAATTTGTGTGCTTGGTCTTTGTAAAAGTAAGAATGTTCGAGTCGATGGCATTCTACTGTTTCTACCATTTCTTGCAAGTAAAGTTTATTGAATTTTTATAATTTTGTACACAATTTGAAATGTGAATTTATATGGCGCAGCTGGTTATACAATGTGCGAGATTTTTATAAAAAAATAAAATAAAAAATAAGAATAAACAAAAGAAAATTTGCCAAAACTGGTCCAAATTTCTCTTAACTTAATCAGCTGGCCAGAAGGGTATATAGTAGTCTTTACTGTCTGTAAGTAAGGTAGTTTACACTGATAAATATTTTTTTAAAATAATCGTTCCAACATCAGAAGGGTTTATATTAGTTAAGCTTTACTGTGATAACTCCTAACTAAACTCTATTAAAGAAGATATCGAGACCTTATAATGTATTCAATACCCTCTATCTGCAAATTTCACTAAAACTACTTTCTGCTGTTAGAACCCATCTGGGACTTAACTGTCATCACTGGTGTTAATTCTTACTTTGCAATTTAATAGTAAAGTTGCACACGGAAATGGTTGGGGCTGAAACAAGTGCTTCTTGAGTGTATACACATGGTATGAATTTAACAGAAATTTGCTAATAAAAGGTTAAAGAATAACACTTAGAGAAAGACCAATACAAGAATGAAAGTAAAGGGTAGTACGTATATAGATAAAGAAAAGGCAGAGGCAAAAATCGCTTTTGTTATCGATTTTGTTATCGAAATTTTTATCGATATTGTTATCGATTTTGCTATCGATATCTTCGGAACCTATCGATATAATAATCGAAATTTTTATCGATTTTGTTATAGATTTTATCATCGAGTCTTTTAAGGATTTTGTAATCGATACTATTTATCGATATTGTTGCAGATTTTGTTATCGACATTTTTATCGAAGTTGTTATCGATATTTTTATCGATCTTTTATCCATTTTGTATCGATTTTGTTATTGATTATTTATCGATATTTTTATCGCTTTTCTAAACGATTTTTGTTATCGATTTTGTTTTCTTTATTTTTATCGATTTTTCTATCGATATTAATATCAATTTTGTTTTTGATAATTTTATCGATTTTCTAATCGATTTTGCTATCAATATCCTTATCGATTTTGCTATCGAATTTGTCATCGATTTTGTTATCGATATTTTTATTGGTTTTGTTATCGATATTTTGTTGGATGTTACTATCGTTTTTGATATTGACAGAGTATGAGGATAAAAATGAAGATAAAGGAAAACAGAATAACATACATAAATGTAATTAGAAGGAACAGGGGTAGCGGTAGTGATATAGATAGTGTGGCCCAGGCGCACTTACTTTTTTATGTATAATTTCCCGCAGATTGCGAACATGTCTTCAAAATATAAGAAACTAGAATAGTTTTAGAGATATAGCAAAATTTCGAATAATTGCTTAAAAATGCAAAAATGCAGTGTATGTTGATTAAATTTTTTATTTTTCCAAATGCGAATTATTATAAGCTTACCCGTATTTTTACAACGCTTTTTTTTGAGCTAACTTGACTGAGCTATTCACATTTTATTCGCTTTAACTCTTAATTAATTTACTTCCAACCCCCTTCTTGCTTCGCACTATAATCAAATTGCCCGTTGTCAGTTCTTCCCATGACTCTTCACTCTCACTCCAATCGCCATCATCACGATCATTGCTCATCATCTGTCCCATCCAATCCACATAAGCCGATACTTCCGTAAAGACACCCGGATAAGGCGCCACAGTGCATGGCTTGCGACTCCACGAAACAATGCCCACCTGTTGGCCATCTACCAGCAGAGGACCACCCGAATCACCGCTACACTGACCCTTGCCACCCTCCGGCACACCGGCACAAATTGTGGTCGCATGCAATTGAGTGCCATGACGTTGGCTACACTCCTCATCGCTGAATATTTGTAAATGCACCTTTTGTAGTTGTTTTTGTATGATGCCACCAGTCTGTGGAAGGGACAGAAATAATTATTAAAAACAATTTTTTTTTTAATGTTTTTGCCACTCACTGCATTCAGCCCCCAGCCGAGCAATACGGCTGGCAACGCCTCTGCTGTATCCTGTTGCGCTGCCGGCAAATGCACTGCACGCACTTTTGAACTAAATTTGATGGGTGTTTGCAGACGCAGCAGCGCAATGTCATTCAAATGCAAATTTCCAGGTTGATAATTATCATGCACTACTATTTTACTGATATTCGACACTTTGGGGCTAGCCGCATCCAATTCATTGCTGCCATATTGAATACTCAACTGTTCCGGTTGTATTTTCACGACACAATGTGCGGCCGTAAGCGCCCAAGCACGATTTAGCAGCGAAGCACCACACTTATGTTGACCATCGAAAGCGCGACGTAGGGAAACCTTTGCCGAACGAGTAAAAGAACTTGCGTTATCAACTTAAAGAAGGTAGGTAGGTAGCTGGCGTTCCAAGAGCTTATTCGATTATGCAAATGCTTTTCTTTTATCGCAATCAACGTGTGCTTGGCTAAAATTTTGAAACGCTCTCTTAAATAAGTATTTTAATTAAACTCACCACAAATGGAAATTCGCCTTCGTTGGCCTGTGTGCCATTTACGATTCTCGAGTAAAACGCTTGACTCTGGCAAATTCCAATTAAAAGGCTCATAGCGTAAAAAAGTAGCAATCCACTGATTCGAGCCATGTTTGTGGAGATCGAATTATGACTGAATATCGAATATGACGAGCTTGGCGGTTAGAACTTGTTTATATTGCAACAAAAAAAGTGTTGCTGTCTGAGTTGCATTGCTGCGAATTTAGGTTAATTGCGGCACAATGGGGCGTAGTTGCGTATACTCGACCTTTGCCTGAATTGCATGGAAAACTGATAAGAATATATCGTTGTTTTTTTTTGTTTTTGTTTTTTGTTTTTATACATTACAAATGCACAACAGTGTAGAGTGGAAAACCAACTTCCAATGAATTCATTAATGTAGATGCGTAGGGGTTATGTAGAATGCAACAAAAATGCTAAAGAATTTCTAAGCTGTTTTATGTTGGCATAAATAGTTAGATATATATATATATACACACATACATACATACATATTTAGTTATGTACACTCAGAAATAGTAGATAAAAAAGGCGCAAATATTTAGTGTGAACAAAGCACAGCTAACGGTTGATGTATGTATGTGGTCTAAACTTGAAAACTTTCAAAGTCAAGGCTAGTATTTTAAGCGCAAATTTAAACTCTTGCGGAAGTGTTTTCTATGCAGAACTGCACATTAGGGTATTCACAGCAAAATTATAATTTATTTATTGATAGTCAATTGTCATCTATACAAAAAAAAGCGTTAAGTATAAAATATCAACCGTTGAAGTTAAAGATCTGAAAATTTTTGTTCAGTGGTTTCCTAGGTGTTTCAAAATTGGAAGTAATATCATTTATTTTTATTTTTTCCTTCGCGAAATATATTTTAAAGAAACTACATAACACCGCGCGACAAAAATCAAAAAATTTTCACACATGTGTAAAAATCAATATACACACGACATCCAGAAATAGTAAAACTGCGTATTTAGTTTTTCTCCTTCACGTCAGAATTTTTTTCAAAGGTCTTTGAAGTTTCAAGGAAAGGATAAGTATACTAATTCAAAAAATTATTTAGAAAAATTTAGTACAATGTAGAATAATAAAGCGAAATTTCATACTTCCTTCACGGGGAGGAGATAAAATTTCTTAATTTATTTAATAATAATCAAACAATAAATTTAAAATCTTGCTGTGAATGTCATAATTGTGTTAAAATTTAAAGAACAAATACTCAAAATTATTTTTATCATCAGAGACATATTAAGTATTAAAACCACAAAAATTAGTATTAGCTGCATCCATTCATCAATATATCTACATATATAGTAGTCTTCTATAGCAAACATGACTGCCATTTTGCAAAGTTTTAAGATAATGCTACAGCGTTATCCCGTTACACGAGGCATGGTCTCGTATAGCCTCATTTGGCCGACGAGTTCTCTGATACAACAGACTTTCGAGGGGAGAAGATGGCGTAATGTATATTCTTAAAATTCCAAAAATTCAATTTTCCATTTATTTTATTTTGATTTATTTCATTTCATTTAATTATTCCTGGTTGTTTATTTTATTTTTTTATGCATTTTATTTCCACGCATTTAATTGTTTTGTTTCAGTTACATTTTATTTTATTTTGCTTTTTCGTTATTTCTCATTTCATTTATTTCTAATTTTATTTAGTTTTCATTTTATTTAATCAAAACTTTTATTTTGAATTACTCCATTTTATTTTATTTTACTTTGTTTTATTTATTTTATTTTATTTATTTCCCTTTATTTTATTTTATTTTACTATATTATATAATATTATATCATATTATAATTTTTATTTCATTTTATTTTATTTTATTTTATTTTATTTTATTTTATTTTATTTTATTTTATTTTATTTTATTTTATTTTATTTTATTTTATTTTATTTTATTTTATTTTATTTATTTTATTTTATTTTATTTTATTTTATTTTATTTTAATCTATCTTTTTTGTCCGATCAGTTCAAATTTATTTTATTTTATGTTTGTAGGCTAGTCTGATCTTTTCAGTTCTGGTGCGAATAAAACTACTTTATTCCACTTTTCACCCGACGTTTCGCTAAAACTTTTTTAGCATCCTCAGGGGTAGTGTTTATTTTATCTGTTACAACAAATATAC